CAAGAAGAATGAAGTCCTTGACAACTTCAATCTTTTCTCCTTTCATAAGAATGTGTTTATTGGTCCAGTGGTGAGGATTTTTGTTTTCTTTACATTGAGATGTAACCCATACCGAAGGCTGTGCTCTTTAATCTTCATCAGTAAATGTTTTAAGTCCTCTTCACTTTCAGCAATCCTTAATAGCCTCATTTTCTTATTTATAATTACCACCATAATCATTCCTGTAAGGAACTGAAATCTCAGCAAACAATATATCTAGTCAAAATGACACTGCCACTTCTGCTACCATTTATAAAAATCTAAATATCTTCATGATTATAAAGCAAATGACAATTTTCTCTAGTCCTTACTGTCTAAATGACAGTTTACAAGTGGGGTTATCCACAGTGATTTGAATCACCTAGCAGATAGTGAAATGTTTAAGTAGAACAGAATCTAACTAGACACTAGAGGCAAGCCTTAAAGATGCCTACCTTTAAAAAGATAAACCTATTTCTATCTGCTTAGTTGTAGCTTTTCTCTGACATAAAAATACCATCCAAATTAAAATCCAACCTTCCTACAATGGCCAGATTAATTAAATACCATTTTCATCATGGTATTCTCTTCTTCTATTCACTCAAGTTTTAAATCTCAAAGGTTCATCTTAAATTTACCTTCTTCATAACCAAAGGAGTTCTGGCATGGCACAGTAAGATAAACAATGGACTGCTAAACACAAGGCTGGTGGCTCAAATCCCCCAATCAGTCACTGGAAACCCTATACAGGTCAGAACCAACTTGACGGCACATAATAACAACCATAACCAAAAGACTTGAGCTGTCTTTGAGTTTTTGAAGTCTACAATTGGCAGCCAACGTGTACCTGAGAAATTCTTTAAAAAAGGGATTCTTGCCTTGGTCTCAAAGCCTGAGGCTTCAGTTTAGTAGGTCTGTGGTGAGACCCAGGAACCTGTATTTTGAAGGCTCTCCTGGTGTGGTATAGTGAATTATCTCACGTCTTTTCTAGCCGTAGTCTATACCTTTCACCAAACAACATTTCTGCCCTACTGGGTAAGAGTAAGAGAAAGTAGGAGAAAATAGTGCTAGGACGACATGACTCAGCTGTGGATGTTCACTATAATTGTAAAAACTTAAAACTCTAGCACAGGTATAAAATGACCTGTCTAAGAACAGGAGGAGGGATCTCACTATCATAAAGAAGAGCCAGGAGTGGCATGTGTGCTCTGGATCCAGAGATCCCCAACACTGAACCTCCTTGGCTCAGTGACATAAACCTGTAACACCAGAGGAGCAGTAGAGCCAAGAGCAAGAGCACAAGACAAGGCAGTGGATTTCCTGGCTCATGGAACAGGTAAAGCTGAATGACTCTGAGCAGGAGCCTTGCTTGCAGAGTGGGGAATCTTCAGGAACTTAATTGGGGAAGTTAGGTTTGCCACTCCCTGGAGCCAGAGCAGAATTTCTTTGGGCTGAAGCTTATGGTGGAGTGTTGTGTCCTGTGGACATTTATTAACAGACCGAAAAGAGCTTTGTAGCATTAGCTGGCCAGAGAGAGGCCTGCCTGTGGGCATGGCTGATGAGAGACTGTCCTGCCTGGAAGAACTGTGCCCTAGAAATCTCTGACCTTGAATTGTAACCTGTTAACTTCCTTAATAAACCCGGTACCTGTGAGTATGGTATCTGAGAAGTAGAGGTGCTATGGAAGTGACGGTTGGTGCCACCCCATTCATTCTAGAACTGGTGATTCTGCTATGCTTTTAGATTTGGTTGTCCTGTTCTTTTCTATGCATACAAGAGACTGTCATGCAGTAAGTAAGTAACCTTTAACCACACAGACCGGCCTCCTATAGCACCTTTATCACAGTATTTATCATATTACAGAAATCATCTAAGCACCATGAGGGCAGAGACAGACCCGTATAAATTAGTGTATTTTAAGCATACAGGATGTGCACTGTATACTTAAATAGATATTTAATGAATGATGATTACTGGCTCTGTAGCTAGACAGATTTAGGCTCTAATCTTTCACTTTGACCTCGGGAAAATTAATTATTAACTCTAAGTCTCATTTTCTTCCTCTGTACAGCAGGGATACCAAGTCCCATTTGACAAGATTTTAAGTGTATGACTTAATATATATATAAAGCATACTTCATGTCTACTTTCCTCAAAAAGCATGTTTTAAATTTTTTTCTATGATTCACATGACCTTCACAATACAATGAAATAGTATCTATCGCCTTAACTACACTGAATACCAGTTGCCTCTTGGATTGGCATTCCACATATACCAGGTATGCTGGCCCTGAGATGCTTCTGGAGATAGATCTAGAAGACAGCAGAATTTCATTATGTATAAAATAATGGTACCATGTACTTTCAACTCCAACTAACTGTTTCACTTTTGAATATTTGCACACTTTCATAGAAGTACAGACACTCTCTTATGCTAGAGCTCAGGAACTCCAAAACAGTGGTTGCTGTGTTTTACTTAGTGTAATTTTCAAGCAGTCAGTTTGTTTCTTTTCTTTTACTACTCACTGTGACACTGTCTTGTAACTTCATTAGTTACTCCATAGGAATGAGTCATGAGCAAAGATACTACCACAGATGAATAGCAGCCTATTACATCATCCCTCCTTTTTATAAACCAGGATTGAATATAATAAATAACTGAAACTCTTAGTAAGCGAATTCCTGATGCCACTTTTTAAATATTTCTTCACCATGGATACCTTTACTTAAGTCTCTGACAACGTATGTAAGATTTGCATTCTCAAGTATTAGGTGGTTTGCAGGTAAACTTGAGAAATGAATAACTAAGCAAGTGCTAGACATCATTCTAAATCACTTACAAAATCTAAGTCATAAATAGCGACTTGAATGATATTTTGAAAGCTATTAAAATACACACACACACACACACACACACACTGCTAGGAAGACTTCCAATTGACTAAAGAACCTACCCTCCCCACCCTCCCCCCACAAATTAGGAAAAAAGGATTTCTAGAGGGGCAACAACAACAAATCAGTAAACTGACGTATGCCAGACTAAGAAGCTTCAAGTGAACCACATTACAAGTATAATATTTCTAATTGTACTAAATACTTCTAACTTTTACAAATTTTTCTTTTAAAGCAAGACCCAAACTTTGGCAAATCAGCTGCCAGACTCACAAGAAATTGTTATTGTGCTGTTCAAGTTTGCATTTCAGCAATTAAGATAGCATACGTTGAGTACTAGATGCAGAATTTGAGACAGATTTTCATCACATAAAATTGAAAACTAAGTAAAAACAGCCCACATGAAAATTTTATATGTATAAAACTTTTAATTCAGAAGTTTAGCTACAGAGAAGCTAGACTCAACTCACCCATGAGTCCTGACATCTCTAAACTCAAAAATAAGATAATCTGAATTATCGTAAGGGCTGTACTTTTTTCTTTCTTTCTTGTGAGGAGAAAGTGCCTTCCCACATCTCTAACTAACCTCTGACTAAAAGTATTTTAAAAAACTAAAGGATAAAAACAAGGCTACATCATGGCTAATAATTTCCATGTAAGCTACTCAGATATTATACCTTGTTTTTGTATTGAGTATTATTTCTCAGCCAAATATTAACATTGCTTTGCATCAACCAATATTTTTTTATCTGTCAATCAATAAATCTTAGAATTCATTTGAACTTGCTCTTTATTCAATCACAAAAAGGGTCTAATTTGCCTCAGGTTTCTAAAACCCTAACAAAAACCTTAGTTGTGGTTTCTTCCTAATTGATGTTCCCTACAAATGTATGCTCTTTTTTATGGCCTTCAAAAATATTTAATAGCATATATTCTTAAAATTCAAAAAGACATTCAGATTGACAAATGGGAGACAAATGGGAGAGTGCACCCACAATTCAGAAGCCAACCTGAAATTTAATAGGTTCACTGTTTTCTAAATTGTAGGTTAGGCCATGAACAATTCATAGCTAATTTTCAAACCTCCAAATAAATATCTGACATAATGGGCTTCTAGGTGATTCTAGCATGCTGCTACGGTTGAAAAACCACTGGCCTCAATGGTAAAAATTTCAGAAAGTCAGAATGACATAAAAAGTATATACAGAAGGCTGGCAAAGTACTGACAGAAAGTACACAAATATATGTGCGTATTTGTCTCTTTTGATCAGAATGTATTAAGTATAAGCCTAAGAATTCTACTATAACCCAACTAGAAATGTGTACTACTTTTTACAGTTTGGCATAAAACTGTAGTTAATGTGCAAATTTTATTTGTACATACCATTAACCCTTTGTAGCTCATTATTAATGCAATTTTCCCCCAAACAGCAATTTCACTTACATTATCATGTTTAAAAAAACACAACATCTTCAATTCCCGGAAGACCCTTTTGCAAGAGACCAGATTCTGGAAGACGTTGGGCATCTTTTTGAGTGCTACTCTCTTTCCATCTCTTGGATCTGTTACTGACCTAAAGAAGCAATATTTGGAGGGAGGGAGGGAAAGACAAAGAAATCAATTCCAGACTTTATTCTTCAAAGTTTCAGATCATGACAAATACCTTTATTTAAAACAGTCTATATTTAAAAACCCACTTAATAATGCTTAAGGTGTCAATGAGAAATATTAAAAAAAAAAAAAAAAAAAAAAGCATACATTACACCTGAGACAGGAAGGAAGGACTACTGGGTATACCAGGACCAATTTTAAGGATGGAATTTAGAGCCATTTTAAAGATTGGGAAGCAAAAGAAGCACAGATTATTAAATAACACAATTAAAGTCAATTTAGTTTGATTCTTTTTTTTCTTTTCAGAACCATATTTAAGATGAAAGAGATGCTCATTCTAAGGATGTAACATTTAGTTCAAAGAAGAGCTCAATTTAAATATTTTGATCTTTGTAAATGAGCATCTTTAATATGTACCTCAGTACCACTATGAAGTGAAAGATGTGTCCTTCTCATTTGTCTAAGTGCCAACTTCCAAAGGGATCCGCCTACCTCCTACATTTCTGATAGCCTTTTAACCCTTTTGTTTCCCAGCTCTTGGTGTGGCATCTGCTTCCTACAATAGTATCTGTTTACATTTATTTGGTAAATATGGCCAATTGGCCATTTGAAAGATTGGTTTTCTGATAATAAACAAAGCTTTCATTTTTCTCCCTTCCACCAATCATACTAAGACTCATCATCCTTGTAAAATGTAATCCTGGCAAGATTTATTTTGGTTGATTCCTGCCTACCATTACCTTTCAGATGTTTCAATGATCCAAAGCTTTGGCTCTCCCTACCACATTTGTGTCATTTATAAATTTCATCTAAATGTTGTCAATGCTTCCATACAGGGCATTCATCAAAGCTTAAGAAAAAACTAAGAATAGATCTTTGCAATACATATGAGGGTAAGCCAAAAAGTATTGCTACTAGGTTCCAGTCTATAAACCCCACTCGTTTATTATAAACAAACCAAGTTTAAAACATGCAGTGGATAGCTGCAGACGAGTTCACTCAGTAATATACTGGACTTAGTCTTACTGTTGTTAAGTGTCGTCAAGTCAGTTCCAACTCAGTGACCTTGTATAGGGTTTCCAAGCAGTGGCTGGTAAGTTTGAACCAACGACCTTGTGGTTTGAACTGATCTTGCAGTCCAGTGCTTTATCCTACAGCACCACACCAGGGGACCAGTCTTACTGTTGTTAAGTACTGTCGAGTCAGTTCTGGCTCATAGCGACCCTGTATAAGGCTTCTGAAAAGAACCTGGTGAACTTGAAATGCCAACCTTGCGGTTCAAATCAACCTTGCAGTCCAGCACATTAAACCAGTCTAACTAGGGCACCTTAAAAAAACCAAAAAATTCTATCAAAACAGAAGCTTTCAAGGGGATCTGCTGGGCCACTTTGATTTAATGCAGAAAGTCAGCTCAGAAGGTTATGACAACTGTCTTTTGAAATTTCAAAGGAGTAAATTTAATAAATTTTCTGAGGGTACAAGACAATCTTGGGGGCTTATTAGGAAGAAGATGAAGTTTTAAGAAAACTGAAAACTACACAGGAAAGTTGCATTGAGTTGTTTTTTTTTTCATCTCAACAATGCACCTGGCTCATTCTTTGAGGGTAGCAAGGGCTGTCTTAGGAGAATTTCACTGAGAAACCTCACCCTAACCACCCTACAACTCTAATCTTGCTCCCTTCAAATTTCTTTTTGTTTCCCAAACTCAAATGAATATTTAGAAGAAACATGATTTGAGTTCCTCAAACTGCCGTTTTGACATGATGTGAATTGAAGAGCAGAAAATTCTTCAAGGAAGGGTTGTTGTTGTTAAATGCTGTCGAGTCAATTCTGACTCATAGCGACCCTGAATAGGGTTTCCGAGGAGTGACTGGTAAGCTTGAAACGGAAACACTCCTTCAGAAGTGTATAGACCTACATGAAGGCTATGCTGAGAAACAATAGTGTCACATTTTTACATTTTTGTTTAATAAAGGGTTCTATGATTTTGTAGCAATACTTTTTGATTCACTTTCTTGTAGCTCTAGAAACCATCCATGAAACTGGACTCCAATCATTAATCTTGGGTATGATTATTTAATTAATCATTCATTCAATTAACTACAATCACTATTTCTTCATTTTGCTTACACGAAGAAATCCCACACCCATCAAATTGCCTTCATGAAAATAAAACATATCCATTATCTACCTATCTAAAATCCACACCAAACTTCTTTCTGAATAGCATGACTTTGAGAATTCATCTTAGTGATTATTTTCTAACTGCTCATGAAAGTTCTAAACTACATGAGAGCTCTTTCTTCCATTTACTGAAAAATTAGTGAAAAATGAAGTATTATCATTTTAAAATTTTCAGTAGCTTGCCATATTAATTCAATGAAGGCCATGAAGGAAATCTAACATTCTTGACTTGTTTAAAAAAACACCTACCAAAACCTACCATACTGCTTGACATCCATTTAAACAAAGAAAGCAAAATAGGGGGGAGATTGAGTATATTATTTGTTATTATTAAGTGCCATTGAATCAGTTCTGATTCATAGCGACCTTGTATAAAGTTTCTAAGGATTTAAATCTTCATGGGAGCAGAAAGCCTAATTTTTCTCCCGCAGAGTGGCTAGTAGGCTCAAACCAAGGACCTTGTGGTTCGCAGTCCAGTGCTTATCGTATAGAGCCACCATGCTCCCCTGAGTATATTATAATTAGACTATTAATTAATAAGTTTGCCCCCCCCCTTATTTACACATTCTGCACTGCATCAAGATATTAGAAGAGAAAAATATCAATGAAATGGCAAGGAAGGACAATTCCAGATCACACAATGCATTCAGTTGTTATGTCTCTTTAGCTTTCTTTATTCTGGAATAGTTACTAAAGTATTTCTTTGTCTTATACAGTCTGTTGTTGTTGCCAAGAGCCATCCAGTTGGTTCTGATTCATAACGAATCTGTATAGGGTTTCTGAGGAGCACATGGTGAGCTTGAATGGCTGACCTTGTGGTTCAAACAGACTTTGCAGTCCAGCACATTAACCTGCAGTGCCACACCAGGACTCGTCTCATTTTCTCAGACCATGTAAGTGTAATTACAGTGAGAGACAGATGATGTCAATCTGCCCCATTGTTGGTGATGTGAACTTTGATCAAGTGGCTGAAGTGTCTCTGTCTGTTTCTCCACTGCAAAATTACTATTTTTTCTCTTTATAACTAGTTAAGTATCTTCAAGTGAGGTATTTCAAAATTATGATAATTTTTGCTTGAATCAAGTATTACTATGATGGTTGTCAAATGGCACTTTAATCATTTTTATCTAACAACTATAAACACAATAAATAGTTTAAAAGATGTATAAATTGATTGAACACAATGCTTTCTCTAAAAACATCACACAGCAAATACACCTTCTCTAGAGACTTCTGAATTCTTACTGACTGATCTTGACCCTATTGTAGTTAGGAAAGTTGCTCTACAATAAACCCACTCCTGGAAATACTTGAGAAAAACCTCAAGGTTAGCACTGTGCCTGGTAATGTTTTAAGGTAAAATTCACAAAGCAGCATTTTATTTTATTATTCATGCAAAAGTCAGTCATGCCTGTGGCTGGTAACAATATAATTCTAATGAATGTGAATGGCAGTTCAGTGATTTCATGCCATGTTGAGTTTGTTCTCTTTTAACTTGGGGTAGCAGGATGCTTTCGTTTAGCACGAGCAGTACTACCAAACACAGATAAATGTGGAAGCATGTCATACAGGAATGCTTTTATTTTGTTACTGAAAGGAGTACTGTGTTTTTTAGTTTGTCTGCTGCTGCAATACCCTGGCTATTCCAACCACAGTTGATAATGAACCCCCAGCTGTAGTGATAATGAACAACACGTAGGGCAATTTTCCTCATTTCAGAAAAAAGGGAGACATCCTTCGATTTATAATTCCCTTGCTAAATGCTGAGTTCTTTAAATAAAACAGTCCAGCTATCATTTCATCTGATTACCTTCTTAAACACTCAAATGACACTAACAGGTGTATACTTCCTAGATTTTAAATTAATGCTTGATTTGGAAAACACCATGTTAAAATTAAAATTTTAAGGATTATACAAGACATAATCCTTTCTCACATCTGCCCAGAATGCATCAATCCTTCTCTGCATTTAGAACACAAGTTGAACTGGTTTTCAAAATGCTAGAAGGATCCACAAGCCACTCTTCAGAGACCTACAGAGTCGGTCAAAACAATTTAATGATAAAACAGAAAACTTTTAAGATTTGGCAAGGTCCATTTTATAGGGTTTTTTAAATTCCAGGAAACTGTGACCAATTTGTATAAATTACCTACTGATAAAAGCAGAAGAGTTGGGAGTGAAGCTTATTACTGGGTATACTTTCCCAGACACAAGAATTTCACATTAAAATATTTTAAATTAGTATAACTAGTCACAAGTGTGATAGTTAAGGTTTTGCATCAACTTGACAGGCCCAAGATGTTCAGTGGCTTGGCAGTTGAGATGTAGTTATTCCCATAATGAGATACAATACAAGGTGATTAGCTCTATGATGAGTTCTGCTATAAGCAATCAATTGAAAGGATGTTTTCTTGAGGGTGTGGCCTGCTTCCAATATATTAAGATGCTTAGGAAGGTTTGTTTAATTTCTGCTGGCTCTGGATCTTACATCTGGCTCATCTTCTGACCTCCAGTTCACTGGACTTGAGCCAGTTGCCTTCTCTATTACCTGAAGAGCCTGGGAGCCATCAGCAGCCTGCCTACCTGCCTTCCATCTCTATAACTGTGAGCCATTTCCTTGACATAAACTTGACTGGTTTGCTTCTCTAGAGAATACAGACTAAAACAGCACAAAAGGAGCCCTGGTGGTGAAGTGATTATAGCACTTGGCTTCTAATCAAAAGGTCGTGGTTCAAACCCACTAGTCACTCTGAGGGAGAAACACTGGCAGTCTGCTT